GGCAAAGGAGGCGTTGCTGACAAACTGGGCCAGCCTGCCGCTGTCGCCGCCGCCACCCACCATGCCTGCAGCAGGGCGAGCAGGCGCGGGGGTGGGCCCGGGTGCATGCAGGCAAAAAGGTGCATGCCGATGCGCTGCCTCGGCAGCGCCCGGCCCACAGTGGCTGCACACATCACACATCACCGCCACCGCAACCAGTGGCCGACCTATCCTGCCCCTCACCCGCAAACACGGCCGCCCCCACCACACAGTAGTTGAGCATGGCTCCGGCATAGTCGACGGCGCGGGTGGCCCCGGCCAGCGCAGCGCGCCAGCTCACCAGCAGCCGCTGCGGCAGGACAGCGGGGAGGGTGGGGCAGCGGTGCAGGGGTCGGGGCTCGGCACGAGACTGCTGCTGGCAGCTTCTCCACAAAACATCAAGCCCGCAAGCCCGCTTAGCTGCCCCACTGAGCTGGCAGACGGCGCTAGGGTCGCAGCAGCTTGGCACCTGTGTGCACCCCGCCACCACTCGCCTGGTTGGAAAGTGCCGCCGCCAGCGTGGCATCCAGGTGGCGCCGCTCAGCGTGCGCGGCGCGGTACTGCGCCACCTCAGCAGCGTACTGCCGCAGGCGCACGTGCGCATACCGCAGGTCGCCCTCCCGCCGCTCCTGAGCAAAGACCAGGCGCGCCACCGGCGAAACCGCCAGCCTGCACACTCAGCAGGAGTACCAGGCCTAGGTGCAGGGAAGCTGGTACTGGAGCTGCTGCTTGCATGGCGGTGTTGAGAAGCAGCAGCGTGGCAGCCGCACAGCTCACCGCTGCACCACCGCCGCCAGCCAGAAGAAGGCGTAGACAGCGGCCAGGCCACGCCAGCCCAGGTAGCCTCCCGTCAGCCAGCTGCACAGGCAGCAGGGGCGCGGGGCGCGCGTGACGGCAGAGGCGTGTGGCCATCCTAGGTGGGCATGTGAATGGTCGTCTCGCAGCATGCAGCTCGCTGGCTCCCCAGCCCACATGCTGCTTCACGGCGCCAGCCCTGCCCACATCAGTGCCCCGCACCTGTAGTACAGAAGCTTGAAGGGTGCGGCCGCCGCCACCCGCGCCACCGCCGACAGGCACTCGCACAGCTCCCCGGCGTCAGAGGCGATGCGCTGGTCTGGGTTGTCAACCTGCTGCTGCCCCTGCCCGCTCTGCCGCTGCTTGTTGCCGGCATCCTGCTGCTGGTGCCCATCCTGGTGAGCCTCCTGGCCCCACGCCGGCTGCTGCGCCGGGTGCGGCTCCTGCCCCGGCGCCGCCTGCTGGGCCTGGCCCTGCTGCAGGCGATAGTAGGCGTGCTGGTGGTGGCAGTAGCAGTGGTGCAGGTGGGCGGTGAGGCGCTGCCGCCAGTGCAGAGCCAAGTTCTCTGCGCCAAGCAAGCACAGCCAGCAGGCCTGTTGTCCACGCAATGGCGGGGCAGGCGCATCTGGCCTGCAAGACATGCCCCACCCCCTGCCTATTTTCCTGCCGCGCAAGAGCAATCAGCGCCCACCTGTCACCCAGGTGGCGGCGGCGTAGAGGGCGGTGGAGGCTGCGTACAGCGCCGCCGCGTGCAGCATGGCTGCTGCAAACTTGGAGGGCTGGCCATCCACCACAATCAGGTAGAAAGAGCCCGCCACCTTGCCCACTGCACGCAAGAGGCGGGAGCCAAGTAGCCTGCCCTCTGTGGCGTGGTTTGGGGGCAGCCAGCCGCGGCGGCGGCAGGAGCAGGCGCACCTTCTGCCACTACGACCGCCTCTGCCACGGCCAGCAGCGAGAGGATGAGCGCCGGGTAGGGGCGCAGCAGCCGCAGCAGCGCTCGGAAGCGACGCAGGAAGTGAAGGTTGGAGGTGGCTGGGGCCGGCTTGACTTGGACCTCGCCTCGTCTGGCGGTGGTGCCGCCGCCGCCGCCGCCGCCGCTGCTGCCGCCGCGCCCACTAGACAGCCGGGCAGGCAGCAGCGGCTCCGTGGCGGCTGCATCGATCGCCCTGGTCATTGCTACCTGCATGGCGCCGGCTGGCTGGCCTTGTGGCGACCAGCACGTCAACTGGAGGTGCGGGAAGTGGCCATGCAGGCCCCTGGCTGGATCCAGAAAATATATAGATGAGAACAGCAGGCCATCTAATGCTCAACAAGCTAGGAATGGCATCGCCTGCTTAGCATGCGGAGCCTGCCCGCGTGGAGAGGAACCCCTCTCGACACGGGCGCTGTTCTCCCTCCTTCTGATCATCCGACCTGTGTGCACGCTCTGTAGGCCATCACCAGCAGCCTCCTGACGGCCTCCGACAAGCGAGCAGTCGTCGCTCTCCCTTCACACGCCCAGCTAGCCCGCCAGCAGGTACCAGGGCCAACCAATGCACACGCCCTGCATCAGGCCCTGCTCTACAGCCCGCCCACAGCCGCCTGCGTGTAGCGGCGGCGGCGGCGCTGGTGGCGGCCCCGCAGGTCTCCGCCTCCTGCAGAGACGCGCCCCCTTTGTGCTGTGTTACTGCAGCCATCATGGGCACCAAGGCATGCATCAACCGACTACAGAAAGAGTACAAGGCCATCCTCAAGGTAGGGGAGCAGGGAAGCAGTGGCTCTTGTCGGTGCAGCAAATGCGAGGCCCTGCCGCTTCTGGCCAGCACAACACACATTCTGGTGGAGTCGTGCGCCGCGTGCTGGTGTGCCTGCAGGACCCGGCGCCGCAGATCACTGCGCACCCAGCACCCAACAACCTCCTGGACTGGCACTATCTGCTGGAGGGCCCAAAGGGGTCCGACTTTGAGGGCGGCTGCTACCACGGCAAGTCCGACCGGGGGGAGGGGGTGGGTGGGCGGCAGTAGCGGTGTAGTGGTGGCATAGCGCCGCAGGAGGACAGCCATGCCCCTCAGCCACTCCACCCGTGCATGCCACCGAGCCGTGGGTAGCTGCATGCCATGCGGGGCCCGTGTGGTGAAGTCGCTCTTGCCCTCCCCTGAGCGTGCTCGCTTCGCTCTCGCTCTTGGCCTCCCGCCCTCCTCCTGCAGGCAAGGTGACCTTCCCGCCAGAGTATCCTTTCAAGCCGCCCTCCATAGTTATGCTGACGCCCAACGGCCGCTTCGCCACCAACACCAAGCTTTGCCTCAGGTGCGGCGGGCGGGTGCGGCGGGCGGATTGGCGACTGGCGCAAGCCAGCTAGGCAGTTGAGCATCCCCCGGCTGACACTCACCGCTGGCCTTCCTTTCGCTGCTGTCTGCTGCAGCATGAGCAGCTTCCATCCCGAGAGCTGGAACCCCTGTGAGTATGTGCTTGATGTGCATGTGCTGCTGCATGTGTTGCTGGCGGAGCTCTTCAGGTGTTGGCAGCATGCATCCAGTCAAAGCTGGTCGCCTCTGACGCCTGTGCCTGCCACCTCGCCCCGCCGTGCAGTGTGGAGCGTCAGCACCATTCTGACTGGGCTGCTGAGCTTCATGCTGGAGAGTCAGCACACCACGGGTGCGGGTGCCTCCTGGCGGCCGCCACCCCAGGGCCAGCAGGCTGCCTTTGTTATGCCAAGTTGGGTCGACATGTGCCATGCGCGGCCTCCGACCCCATATGCACTGCGCTGCCGTGTGCTCTGCAGGCGCCATCAGCAGCACGCAGCCGGAGAAGCGGCGGTTTGCGCGGGAGTCTCTGGCCTACAACGTGCGCAACCCAACCTTCCGCAAGCTGTTCCCAGAGTGGGTGGAGCGGCACGACAAGCAGCAGGCGGAGGCGGCGGCGGCGGCGGCGGCCCGGCAGCAGCAGCAGGGAGGGGAGCAGGGAGCAGGCGGGCAGCAGGCAGCGGCGGCGGGCCCTGGGGAGCAGGCGGGCGGGGCTGCGGCTGCGCTGGCGGGCGGCCAAGCACTGCGGGGGCAGGCGGTGCAGTGGAGCGGCTACCTCGTGGGCGCGGCGGCGGTGGCGGCGGCCGGCGTGGCGGCCACCCTGCTCATGCAATACGACGGAGGGCAGTGAGGAGCCGCACAGCCACCAATGTACACGTGTGCTGTGCGCGCTGCAAGGCGCCGCACTGTTGGCCCACCCTGTAATTTTACGTCAGAGGCGGTGGTATGCGACAGTGTGTAGCAGGGGCGCAGCGGCACCGACGTGTGTGTCCCAGCGCCGACGGATGTGGAGCTGGCGGTGCCGCTGCGGCAGCGGCTCAAGCCTTCTGAGCGGATCCTTCCGCAAGCAGTTCTGTTGTGTGCGTTGAAGGGTACCATTGCATGCGCCTTCCGCGCAGTTTACAGTTTACCTCCAGCTGGCGGGCGGGCAAAGCGGCGGCGAGCTGCAAGGCGCTCAGGCGGCGCCAGGGCCGCCCCCCATGCTGCTAAACTCATGTGGTAGTCCTGCCAATGTCATGGTGTTGACAGGCCATGTAGGCACCCATCCACCTGGTTCATGGTGGCCACCTGGCCGCGATCCGGAGGGCACACCCGCTGCAGCCACGTGCCGAGCCCTCAATAGTGCACACGCACTTGAGAGGCCTTGGCTGACTTCCCATTGCTGCAGCAGGCGCACTCGTCCAGCCAGGGCACTCGGACTAGGACCTAGGGCAGGGTGACCCCAAACGCTTCCAGTCGCCAGGGCGCCTGAGGGTTTCAGCCGAGCACATCCGACACAACTACCAGCAAGCCAATAGCCTTTGCATCTGCGAAGCAAGAGCCATGGAAAAGCTTTCGCACAAGCTCAACCATTGGGCGGCCCACAACGTCAGTGAGAGACAGCGCGCGATGTGGAGGGTCCCGCGGGTCTCCCGTAGGGCAGCCCGAAGGATGTGCCCTGCAGCGCCGGCACCACCGCCGCTGCCAGAAGCCGGTAGCGGAGCCGCCCGAGCCCTGCCCCTGCCCCTGCCGCAGTTCATTGGGAAGTACTTCGATTTCCACAACAGGAAGACCAAGCTGACTCAGGAGATGAGGGCGGGCACGGCCACGGTGAGTCCGGCGCGCTGCCTCTGATGGAGCGGCGGGCACGCCCTACCCACCAACCCCTGGCTTACCTCCC